CCTTCTGCCTTAGCCTTCCAAGTAGTTGTAACTGCAGGTACGTGCTACCATGCCCAGTTAATTTTTTTTTTATTGTAGAGATGAGGTCTCACCAAGCTGCCCAGGCTGGTCTCAAACCCATAGGTTCAGGCAATCTTCTCGCCTCAGCCTCCCAAAATGCTGGGATTACAGGCGCGAGTCACCACACCCAGTCTTTAGTCTTCTAAGTAGCTGGAACTACAGGAGCATGCCACCATGCCTGGCTAATTTTTAAAAAAATTTTTATAGAGATGAGGTCTCGCCAAGTTGCCTAGGGTGGTCTTTAATCCCTGAACTCAAACCCCTGGATTCAGGCAATCCTTTTGCCTCTGCCTTCCAAAGTGCTGGGATTACAGACATCAGCCACCACGCCCAGCAATTTTAGATCTTTAAAATAAATTCTTATACCACATAATTTGTGACTCAAATCAAAATTAACAAATCTCAAGAGGAGATGCTCAATGCCAAATTATTTATAATAATTCAAGGCATGCATTTTGATTCAATATTAAGAGACTAAGAATGGGCTAATGTAGTCTTGAGATGAAGAGAATAAGTTAATGAATGAAAAGTGCAAATTATTTATATTCGTCCTTCCAGTTCATTTAAAAATGCAAGTAATTTTAAAACCTGTGGTTTCCTAGGAAGCCCTGGTATATATGTAAAACTGTAGGTGGTTTCATGGCTATGAGTCTTGGCCTACACTAGATCTTTGGCATCCAGACCATAATACCCCTGGAGAGGTTTAGATGAGTTCCAGAATTAACAGAGCACCTGGTAATGGACTACAACTGATCCAAATTCCTCCCAACCCCAAGGCTTGCTAGAACTAGACTTGGGCTTGCAGCAACACCAGCCTTCAAACTTTCACTTCCTGTTGCCTGGGTACTTTTTTTAAAGCTTCCATGTTAAGCCCTTTATAAAATACTTGGCCAGAATTTTTTTTTTAAAGGTAGACTTTAGGGGTGAGATCTTTTAGTGCTAATACATATAGTCTGATCCAGGCACAATGACTCAGAACTGTAATTCCAGCACTTTAAGAGGCGGAGGTGAGAGGATTGCCTGAGCCCACAGGTTTGAGACCAGCCTGGCAAGACCTCATCTCAACAATAAATCAAAAAGAAAATTAGCTGGGTGTGGTGGTGCACGCCTGTAGTTTCAGCTACTTGGAAGACTGAGGAGGAAGGATATCCTGAGCTCAGCAGATCAAGGCTCTGGTGGCCGTAAGCATGCTACTGCACTCCAGCCTGAGCAAGGAAGTGAGAGTCTGACTCAAAAAAATTAAAAAATAAAAAATACTTGGCCAGAAGTTAAAAAAAGGTAGACTTTAAGGGTAAGGTCTAATAGTGTTAATTAATATTGTCTAAGAATACTTATATTTTTCTCTGAACTGTCAGCTACTCAAAGTCATCCAAAAAATATAAATTATTACTCTCTTGGTCTCTAGTTCAGAATTTTAGCTTCACCACAATGGAATACAAAATTAGTCCCGAACTGGACTCTAACCCAAAACATTTATCTGCTAACTTGCCTGACTCTTTGTTAAACTGTGAGAGGATATGAATTGTGTTTTACTCTGCAGTCCCACTGACTGTCACACAAGAAAACCTCAAATGCTTTAAGAGAGAATGAATAAATAAGTGAGCAAATTTAAATAAACACTATAAAGATTTATATATTAGAGAAAACAAAAAAGACATCATCCTCAGTCCCCAAAGGGAGATATTTTCTGCCAAGATCTCGCAGACCAATGAATGTCTGAAATGTAGTATAGGATGGTAGAAAAATCCAGATGTAGCAGCTGGGACAGCAGTGGGGTTCCTCTGCCTGCCCTCAGTTTCCTTATCCAGACGGAAGTATAATATCAAGTATAATATACAGCTCTAATATTCTGATTCCATTAAGCATAGTAGTGACTGGATACTGTGGAATACAAAAACATTAAAATTTTAGAACACTGCCGAGCTCGGTGGCTCAGCCTGTAATCCCGCGCCTTTGGGAGGCTGAGGTGAGTGAATCGCCTGAGCCCGCGGGTTCGAGACCCGCCTAGGCAGCGAGACCTCATCTCTACAATAAATAAAAAAATCAGCCGGGCATGGTGGCGCATGCCTGTGATTCCGGCTACTCGGAAGGCTGAGGCAGAAGGATCGCCGGAGCCCAGCAGGCCGAGGCTGCGGTGGCCGGGAGCGGCCACTGCACTCCAGTCTGGGCGACAGAGTGAGACTCCAACTCAAAAAAAAAAAAAAATTTTAGAACACTAATAGATACTCTGACTTACAAATATCTAGCAAAAGTACACTAAACAGGGAAACAAAAAACAAAAACACTGTGGAGGAAGACTGGGCATTCACCTGCATTAACTACCTGCATTAATTGCATAGATGGAGCTGAGAGCTCACAACAGAAGACGAATACCTCAAAGGAATGAATCCTGGAGAGGACTCCCCTACACATAACTTGGGTTCTTCAGCATCTGAACTGACTCGGTGACCTTGGTCATAACTTAATATGTCTCATGTACAAAATTAGAGTTATATGAACACCTACCTCTCAGGATATTGTGAAGTGTCATTGACTTAATATGCATAAAGTGCTGTGCACTGCCTGGCATGCCCTAAATGATACACATAAAGAAAAGAAAAAGCCTCCAAGTCTGTCCCCACTCCTCAAAAGTGAGCACAGCCACACCACTAAGAAGAGATACATCTTCTTTTCCTCTTTGTCACAATGTGGTGAGGCCTTCACAGTGACTCCATTTTAATTCTCCCCCTTTTCTGAAAAAAAAATTACCATTTTATACTGTACTTCATCAAATTTAAGACCTTTTTAGTTGAGCACAGTGATGCTCACCTGTAATTCCAGCACTTTGGGAGGTGAAGGCGAGAGGATTGCCTGAGCCTAGGGTGTCAAGAACAGCCTGGGCAACTTGGCAAAACCTTGTCACTTCTATAAATCAAAAAAATTATCCAGGAGTAGTGGCCAGCACCTGTGGTTCCAGCTGCTTGGAAGGCTAAGAGAAGGATCACCAGAGGCCAGCAGGTGGATGCTGTGGTAGCTGTAAGCAATGCCATTGTACTCTAGCCTGGGCGACAGAGTGGGACTCTGGTTCCAAAAAAAAGACACTTTTTTTCCATATTTTAGCATCTCCGAAGTAGGATGCATCTTATAATTGATGGCATCTTAGATTTGATGAATATGGTGAAAACGTTTTTGGTTGTTTCCATTCCAAATGCATACTTCTGCAATTCCATGAATTGCATAGAATCTTTTGTGGCCTCACCTAGAAAACTTACCACTGTTTGAAATGTTATTTCTATGAGAAACTCAATAAAAGACTATTTGGAAAAAATGTAAATTTAGCTAAATAGGAACTGCTTAAACCCCAAAGACTATTTCCAAAACTCTGAATGCTTAAAGAACTAGTCAGAAAAAAAAAGCAATTACAAATAGACCAAATGAAAGTTCTGACGACTGTCACCAGTAACAAGTGAGATTGATAACAAATATTATTTCCCGGAGAGAAAGAAAAGTACACCAATAAATCCGCTTCAACAGTTGTCCACCATCTAACTCGCTTTGCAGAAGGGCCATGAAGTGACTATCAAGAAGTAGCCCTAGGCCCACTTATCTTCACGGGGAAAGAAGGGGGAGTGAAAGTGACAGGAACACCGCGGTGCTATCGGTGTTTTGTTTCCTTGAAGTATTGGACTGCCACTGCCCGAGTCAATGCCCATTCAGTCCTGTGTTGAGCTACATCTCGCAGCTGCACCTTCCCCCACGTCCCAAACGCTGACAACCCACAACATGAAAAAATGTCCATCTTCACGGAAGTCACCGAATGCACGCTCTCTTTCTCTCCATTCACACTCCGCCCCAACCCCCAGAAATCAGGGTCTGAAAAGCACAGATCGCCAGATGCAGCCACCCGCCAGCCCCTCGTACCGCCTCCCGGCGCGCACTCTCGCAGGCGGGCGGGCCCGCGGGAAACCAGAAGTCAGGAATCTCTGACGCCCGAGACACCCAACTTTCTCACGCCTCCGGTCTCTGTTAGGGTAGGCACAATGCCCGGCAACTTGCTATGTGAGTGTGTATCGCAGAGACAATGGCCAGCCCGAGACCGACAGGGCGAGAAGTCTGCGACCAGAGTCTGGCTAAACCGGACGAGGGGTAAAGGGGTGGGGGTGGGACGAGTCCCGGAATCTCCATGGACCACCCGCCCCCAGAGCCAGCCAGCCCAAATCAGCATGCAGCCCAAGAAGTAACAATCTGTTTTTTCCGCAGCTTCAACATCTTTTTTTAAAAAAAAAATTTTTTTGAGCCGGAGTCTCACTCTGTTGCCCAAGCTGGAAGGCAGTGGCACGCTCACGGCCACCGCAGCCTCAACCTGCTGGGCTCAAGGGATCCTTCTGCTTCAGTCTTCCAACTAGCTGGAACTACAGGCGCGCGCCATCACACCCAGCCTATTATTATTATTATTGATTTATTGCAGAGACCAGGTCTCGCCAGGTTGCCCAGGCTGGTCTCGAACCCCGTGGGCACAGGTAATCCTCTCGCATCCGCCTTCCAAAGTACTGGGATTGCAGGCGTGTGCCACCGCGCCCGGCCTTTATATTTTTATTTTTGTTAATTCCTCAGCAAGAGCACCATCACCACCCGCCAGAAAAGAAAAGAAGAGAAATCCGAATCTCCACCCCATTTCCCCTCTCCTTAGAAATCCTGGGGCTGCGCTGGCCGCCCTCCCTGCCCCGTCCGGAAAGGAGGGGAGGCCCTAACGCACGCCGCCCTCTCTCCCTCGCTCGGCCTGGCCAGCGCCGGCTCAGCTGAGCCGCCCGGTCGCCCCGCGGCGCCGGGACCTCCCGGGAGGCCGAGATCGCCGGCTTCTTTCTCCTAGCCGGAACCCGGCCGGCGATCTCCAAGGGCATCTCGCGGGCTGAGCCCACCCGCCCCTCTGCTCAGCCCTCCGCGGGCTCCCCCGCCCTCACCTCGTCCGCTCTGGGGCGCCGTCTTGGTCCCCGAGCTCCAGCGTCCGGGCAGGGCAGGCTCCGAACAGCGAGCAGAAATTGGGATGGGGGCCCGGGGAGGAGGGGGTGTTTGCTCAACTTCTGAGACGTCACGCCTCTGCCTCCCGCAGCCAATCAGCGGCCGCCGTGAGGGAACAACCTTCTCCTCCGCCAATCGGGGGCGCTGCCAGGTGCTGGGTCATGCCCCGCCCCTGCTCCTCCCCGAAAATCCTTCTGCCTTTCTGATCTCTGGCCCGCGTCCCTTGCTGGGGGCACGATGTGCTCTCAGGACGATTATTGACCGGGTTTGTAGGCGTCCGTGGCAGAAAGGAGACGGGGAAGAAGAAGGACGCAAATAATCCGAGTACTATACGCTAAACAGATGGGCATATCTCCTGGGGAAAAGTTTCCAGAACCTGGACCTCATGCTTGTTTGGCAATGCACACTTTCCAAAGCCTTTCGCAGCCTTGTAGCATGCCTGTGAAGCCGGATGACAATTTTGGAATCCAGCAAGCTGAGAATCTGGGAAATTAAATGTAGTGTGCCTGCATTCAACGAATAGTAAGAGTCCATGTGATATGACAAAGTCCAATATTCCTGAAAAGTCCTGGCTACATAGGCCTAGAGGGATAGGAAAACGTGCATGTCATAAAGACTAGCATGTCATACGGAACCACCTGAAGCCTAGCTGTGGTCACCTAAGGAGTCGATGCCCAGAGAGTAATCTTCCCCACCATATTTTTACAACTTTCTTCACCACTTACACTTTTCTCACACCTGCCATGGCTATGTTTAGCTATTGAAATAGCCTAGAACATTACTGAAACTCCACTCATGTCTCCAATTGCAGAGAAAATTAGGATTTTATCTATAAGTAAAATTAAATTTTTTCTGTATCTTTAGATTTTCATAACCAAAGTCAGATTTCTTATTACTCTTCTAAAGCCTTCTTTTCTTCCTGAATTCCCTAAATCTGTTATTGAGAGAATCACTTTCCTTTTTTTTTTTTTTTTTTTTTTATCTTTTCTTTGAATTGGGGCCTCACTCTGTCAGCCAGGCTGGAGTGCAGTGGCACAATTACAGTTCAAGTAGTCTCAACCTCCTTGGCTCAGGCCATCCTCCTGGTTCAGGGCATCCTCCTACCACAGTCTTTGAGTAGCTGGGACAAAAAGACATGTGCCACCATGCTTGGCTAAGTTTTTTTATTTTTTGTAGAGATTCAGTCTCACTATATGACCTAGACTGGTCTTGAATTCCTGGGCTCAAGCAATCCTCCCGCCTTGGCCTCTCAAAGTGTTGAGTTTACAGGCGTGTGCCATCATGCCAGGCCAGATATCAACACCTTCCTAAACAACACTTTACCAGACCTGAAACACCAAGTTTGCTTCAATTCAGTCTTATTCATGGTGTTGATATGATCCTTTAAATTTTCACTATTGGGCCAGGTGTGGTGGTGTGCACCTGTAATCCCAACTACTTGGGAGGCTGAGACGGAAGGATCACTTGAGGCCAGGTGTCCAAGAGGAGCCTGGGCAACATAGTGAGAGCCTATCTCTAAATAAATAAACTCCCACTACTATCACTCTGCTTCAAACCCTTTTATATGCAACTGAGACCACATTTCCTTAAGTAAACAACTCTAATTTAATTGGCTTAAGCAAAATGCCTCAAGGGCAATCTACTACCCGTATAAAATAATCCAAAGTTCTTCACACAATGTGAATTACTTCAAGATGTGGCCAAAATATGCAATCTCAGCTCTATTTCTACAGCAGAGTCAGCCTGAAACCAACACTGAAACACAATCTATGCTTCCTAAGGGTAAGAGTCTGGGTAAAAATCTTTACTTTTCTCCTTCAAGTTATAAATCATGGGCAAGTTACTTCATTTTCAAAAAAATCTTGGTTCCCTTATCTGTTTTTGTTTGCTTGTTTGTTTGAAAACAACAAACAAACAAGCTACTTGGAAGGCTCACTCTGTCACCTAGACTGGAAGGCAGTGGCACGCTCCAGGCCACCACAACCTCGACCTGCTGGGCTCAGGTGATCCTTCCACCTCAATCTTCCAAGTAGCTGGAACTGCAGGCACGTGCCACCATGCCTGGCTAATTTTTTGATTTATTGTAGAGATGAGGGCTCACCAAGTTGCCCAGG